TTTTTTATCAATGAGTCACATGTGTCCATTTTTCTGTACTTCAGGAAACCGGCTACCTATTTCACTACTGTGAAGTTTTTCAAGAACGATAACTCTTACCTGCAATTACTATGTGTATATGGTTTTATTATAAAATGTCAATTTTTATATCGTGTATAGAGAATTAATTTTACACAATTTCAGCATTTATTAAATTGATATACATTAATGCAATACTAATATATGTCAGTATCTTTTTTATTGACATTATTTTGTAAAAATATTGTGTCTTTCATTTTTTTTTCAAAATTCACTCCTTTTTACATAAATTTTCATTTAAAATCCTTAAAATTCTGACAACCTGTATTTTTTTTGTGGCAGAAAATTATCTTTACTTTAAAGCAATATAACTACAAAATCTGAAGAAATTCTACTGAGAAATTGTGACACAATTCTATTACCTTAAGATGCTTTACAAAAATTGTGAATTTCTTGACCCTGGGGTCTCACGTTTTCCCCTGGGGAGGGGGTAAACTATACTGAATAGTTTATATAGGGAAATCACATTTTGGACCAACATTTGTTTAATTTCCATTGGAAGTAATTCAATTTAGGTTAGCTTTATCAGTATTAGGTAGCAGTTTGATATATGCACATATCAGCCCTGACTGACCCCTGGGGCTGATGGTTGGGGCCAAAAAGGGTCAAAGTGACTAAAATTTCAAAAATCTTCGTCTCAAGACCCAGATATGGTAGAATCAAATACTCTGCATAGCTGGAAGGGTCTTAAGATGCTTTACAAAAATTGTGAATTTCTTGACCCTGGGGTCTCACGTTTTCCCCTGGGGAGGGGGTAAACTTTACTATAGTTTATATAGGGAAATCACATTTTGGACCAACATTTGTTTAATTTCCATTGGAAGTAATTCAATTTGGGTTAGCATTATCAGTATTAGGTAGCAGTTTGATAGTATGCACCTATGAGCCCTGACTGACCCCCAGGGGCTGATGGGTGGGGCCAAAAAGGGTTGAATTGACTGAAATTTCAAAAATCTTCTTCTCAAGACCCAGATATGGTAGAATCAAATACTCTTCATAGATGGAAGGGTCTTAAGGTGCTTTACCGAAATTGTGAATTTCTTGACCCTGGGGTCTCACGTTTCCCCCTGGGGAGGGGGTAAACTTTACTATAGTTTATATAGGGAAATCACATTTTGGACCAACATTTGTTTAATTTCCATTGGAAGTAATTCAATTTGGGTTAGCATTATCAGTATTAGGTAGCAGTTTGATAATAAGCACATATCAGCCCTGACTGACCCCCAGGGGCTGATGGGTGGGGCCAAAAAGGGTCGAATTTACTGAAATTTCAAAAATCTTCTTCTCAAGACCCAGATATGGTAGAATCAAATACTCTTCATAGATGGAAGGGTCTTAAGGTTTATGACCCTAGGGTCTCACGTTTACCCCCTTGGGAAGGGGGGGGGGGGGTCAAAATTTATTATGGTTTATAATGGCAAATGATACTTTGAATATTACATGTTAATAACTTGATTGGAATTATAACCTTGAGTTGACAGTTTGATACTTTGAAAATTTTGAGCCAGCCCTACCCCCAAGGGCTGTAGGGTGGGGCCCAAAGGAGTCAGTGTGCTAAAATTTCTTCATTTTCCTTGTTTAGAATCAGAGGTGCTAGTTTCAAATACTTTTTAGTCTTAAATCTGTATGCTAGATATTGAATAAGGTGGTTTTATTGTTTTTTGTCACTTTGAATAATATTTCTGGTCATGTTAAAAACAAAATCAACTCTCTGTATAAATATATCAGGTGACCCTTAAGGCCCATGGGCCTCTTGTTTCTCAAATATGATTTGTAGGTTCCCCTTCACTCAGTGGTCCCGAGTTGGGCATGCTAACTTTTGAGGTTAATCAAAAGATTGATTAAGATGGCAGATAGGCAAACTGATCAAACAGATAAGAGAAAAGAAGAGAAAAGTTAAACTGGCATAGAACTAAAGAATATAGTACTATGGTGGGTGCCAGGATCTCTTGTTCTTTGAATGACTTCTTTTTAAGGACTGAAGGACTTAGGGCCATGATATTTGGCCAGTAGGTACTTGGGACAGAGTGCAATAAAGTTTCCTCAAATAAATGACCTTGACCTACATTCAAGGTCACAGGGGTCAAATATGAACATCTTTGAACAACTTCTTCAGAATAACCAGGAGGCCCAGAGTACTAATACTTTGCTAGTAGGTACCTGGGACAGAGTTATATAGTCTGTCTTGAAATAAATGACCTTGACCAACTGTTGAGGTAACAAGGGTAAAAAGTGTTAAAAACCTTCAAGCAACTTCTTTTTGAGTAACCAAGAGTCCTAGAGCAATGATATTTGGCCTGTAGGGACAAAGTGATATAAAGTTTCAACTTTCAAGGTCACAGGGGTCAAATATGTAAATATCTTTAAACAACTTCCACAATACTAGGAGGCCTTAGTTGATGATATTAGACCAGTGGCATGCTAGGATAGAGTAGTATAAAGTTTCATTTAATCTGGAAAATTCTCAATGCCAAAGGAGACTTTATATAGTGAAAATATTTTCCCATATCTAGGTGAGTGATACAGGCCCTCTGTTCCTCTTGTTTAGGAAAGATACCTATCAAGTTATCAAGTTAATTTTCCTTCTTCAAAAGCTTTTATCACGAAATAGATATGGTGTGTAATAGTTAACTCTAACTATGTTTCTATCTTTTCAGGATATATTACGATGTCGAGTTTTAACATCAGGAATCTTTGAAACCAAATTTATAGTTGATAAAGTGAATTTTCAGTAAGTATGTTTAAGATTGCTTAGCTGTTTTTGAAGGTTGTGATCATCACATTGTGATTAATTTCTTTAAAAGCATCCATTGAATAGCTCTGAAATGTTGGTGCTTATTTGGAATATGAAATGTGAGTGATGAAATTTGTGCAACTTTAAATGTTGCTCCAGTATAACAAAAATAAATAAAAATTCCAGTGTGGCTGGGTGTTTTTTTGGGATATTATATTATTTCCTTCACTGGATGTTCATGCATGTTCACCAAACAGAAGTCTCTGCTTTTAAAAGTGTAAGTACTGTAAATTATTGACCGTGCTGATGGGGGAGGGTGTCTTTATAATATTGATCTCCACGAAAAAGGAGATGGGGCGCTAATTACAACATAAAATATTTTGTATCATATCTAGGGAGACATATTTTGTAAATTTGAAAAGAAAATATGATATTAAAAAAAATTAGTAGCAATACATCCAGACGAGTAGGCAGGTTAACAAAGTATGGTAGGTATGAAGTCATCAGAGCCATTTATAATTATAGATTTCAGGGTTTGATTTGAAGGTGGCTTTGATTTTATCCATATGAACGAGATGAAAATTTCGTTGGAATGTCATACCCTGAAAACATTGTGTGATAAACTGTTTATCATCTATATACTACTACCTTAAATATTTCTTTATTATTAACACATACCTTCCAAATCACTCCTAGGCTCAGTGATCACCGAGGTTCTTGGACTGTGACAAATGTAAACAAATAGAAGATTACTGTGAAGGAATACCATGAAACTTCAAACTATTACAAAAGACTTTTTTTTAGCTAAGGCTTTAGCTGCAACCTATTGATATTACTTCAGTTAATGAGCTCAGATATACAAATATATTCATAAACGTGGTTTCGATACATACGCCACCTACCTGTAAAAAAACAGACAAATTGCAAATAAAATCTATTACCACGGACTCAAGTTCACTCAGAAGACATGAGATATAATATAAATTCCCTGCTACAAGTTTGTATTCTGAAAAATACACTTCATATCTCCTTTGGGAACTGTCGCTTGAAAGCCTTTACACAGAATTACTGTCCACTGATTGGTTGAAATTGGCATCTTGCATTCACACCCTTGTCCTACTCCAGTTCCATATTACTGCCCAATTTAGCATGAATTCCAAGCTGGAGAAGGGATTTTTTCCTTTCACAGTATTGTTGTTGACACAAACGAGAGTTTGAGTCCTTGTCATCAACTTTACTATGCAATAGCAATAGTGGCGTTAATCCCATTGATGAATTTGGCAATACTTTGCTCTGATTGGTCAAAATTTTGGAAGCCCAATTTATGAATGTTATTTTCTATCGTTCTCCTTATTCACGCTCTATCACAAAAGAAAATAGTTCCCCGATTTACACCCACCTGAATTAGATTCTTTTCACAAATAGATATGTTAATATGCTGAAACAAGTGAACTTTAAATGTTTTAGTAGTTTGAAGTCATTCCGTTTCTCTGTATTGCTAAATAATTGTCAAAACAAAAATGACATCCTTTTTTGTCGCGCAAAGATGTTTGACCTTTCGGCTTCTATGTGACCAAGGAGGAAACCTGCTGACAGCATCTAAATTGTAAGTGTAAGTATTTTATTCATTACTATTTGGTGACATAAAAAAATATACAGGGTACATTAAATTTGATTTCTTTGTTTTGGCATTATTATTGTAAACAAAAAACCTTGCCATCATAAACTCCTGTTTTGATTGTTGCTTCATGTCCGTGAACCCAGACATTGTTGACGATAGGAACAACTTATGATAAAAACGGTAACATAAAACAGTTTTATATGCAAGAGAATTATTCTGTGAAAAAAGTTTGAACAGGTCCTATTTTGATATTTACTTTCCTTCGTGGGCTAGCAATTTCAATGCAGTCCAAGGGATGTAACTCGTGTTTACACTAAATAGACTTTGAACCTACTGATGAGTGGACAGTCAAACGTGCTTGAAAGGGAAAACAAAACAGAAGCTGTACAGTTATGCTGCACGGATGTCGTATATAATGATATAGCAGATCGTATTGAGGATGTCAGGTTTTCTTGTTCTTGATCAAACGCCTTCAAGGAAAAATACGAAACTCATATAACACATACTGAAATAGCTCCGCAGCTGTCAATTTTTTTATTTTTTTTATTTAGTAACAAATATTATTCATAGATTCTATATTTTTTCATTCATAACAAAAATCAAGCAATTAATAGTAACTGGTCACTAGGCTTAAGATTGGTTCGTAAATCATTAGGCCCAGATTGATTGTTGCCCCCCAGGGGCTTGAGGGGCGAGGCCAAGCCCAATATGGGAAACATAGGAAATTATTCTTTAAAATCCTTCTTCTGTAGGAATGAAAGAATTTGGTCCATATTTGGTGTGGAGCATCCTTGGGTAAAGGGGAACCAATTTTGTATAAACGTTGGGTGTTGCCTCCCTGGGACCTGGAGGGCAGGGCACAATAGAGGAACTAGAAGTAAAACCTTTATAATCCTTTTTCTACCATAGAGATTAAGGTATTTTATACTTATTTAGTCTGGAGCATCCTGGAGCAAAAGGGACTTAGTTTCGTATAAACATCGAGTGTGGCCTCCTTGGGGCAGAAGGGCGGGGCCCAATAGCGGAAACATAGCAAATTCTTTCTTTGGGTGAAGGGGAACCAATTTTGTATAACAGTATGTCTGACCCCCCTGGAGGCAGAGAGGTGGCGCCCAATAGGAGAAATAGAGGTAAAACCTTTAAAATCCTTCTTCTACCATAGGGATTCAGGGATTTCATCCTAATTTAGTCTGAAGCATCCTTGGGCGAAGGGGACTCCATTTTGTTTAAGAAGTGGGTGTGGTCTCCCAGGGGGCAGAAGGGCGGGGGCCCAATAGGAGAAATAAAGGTAAAACCTTTAAATCCTTCTTCGACCATCAGGATTAAGAGATTTTATCCTTATTTAGTCTGGAGCATCCTTGGGTCAAGAGGACTCAATTTTATATACTCGGTGGGCATGACCCCAGTCAGGGCTTAGGGGTGGGGCTCTGTTTGAAGTTTTTTCTCGCTATATCTCAATTACTGTATGGATTTTTCTGAAATTTCATATGTACTTACAGCACCTACCATGGAGTGCTATATCTTTACTTAATACCAATTATTTTAAACATAATTCAGGTGAGCGATACAGGCCCTCTGGGCCTCTTGTTTATTACTGTTATTATTGATATTTGAAAGAACTAAGGCCCCTGTGCATTGATCATTTGAATAGATACCCAATGTTATAAAATCAGTACAGGCATAGATTGAATTTTTGTGGTAAACTTTTCTGTCAAAGGAAAAAATAACAATATGGTTTACTCTTCCAATATTTGTTATCGTCATTGTTCAGTGTCTTGCTACACTATTTCATTTTTTTCCTTTCTTTTTTTTTATTGCAGATATTAAGCTACATTTTCATAATATTAAATAATTAAATAATAACCCTGTACCCATAGATTTTAATTTTATCTAATTGGAATTTATATTCCACTCCGTACTCTTTTTGTTCAATTTTAAATTAAGTCTGTAGACAACTGTAGTACAAAAGCTGACCATTATCAAAATACAAATATTTCCCATTTTAGGTGATCTGCACACCAGTATCTGCTGGAAGTTTAAGCCATCATAATCGGAGAGTTTGGCAAGATGGAATGGCGTTTGCAGTAACTGACACAGAAAGGACTTGTAGGTCATCTCACCCTACCTGTTGTTGAACATAGCAGAGGACACTGATTTAGAGACATATCAAGTGGAAGTGAAGAATGAAGAGATTCTGTGAATGGACAATTATAGAAGTTTAACCTTATATACACATTAAATGCATAGAACTAGAAGCTTTTGTATGATTTTTGTTCCCCCTGGCTTATGGGGGGGGGGGGGGGGGGGGGGGCGTCACGTTGCATCCCGATTCAATGTAAACACTTAGCAACTTCATTCTTTGACAGATTTTATACTCAAACTTTATACAAAGGTACAACCCTCCATAAAATGGGGGGGCATATAGTGTTGCACATGTCCGTCCCGTCCTGTCGCATTCCAATGTAAAAGACTTCATTCTTTGACAGATTTTTAGCTCACCTGCCAAGTGAGCTTATGCCGTGGCGCGGCGTCCGTCGTCCGTCCGTCTGTCCGTCCGTCTGTCCTCGTCCGTCAACTTTTCCTTTAAACAACTTCTTCTGAAGAACGGACAGGCCTAGAGTCATGATATTTGGCTGAGAGCTTCGTTGGTAGGAGCCCTACAAAGTTTGAGAACGAAAATGACCTTGACCTACTTTCAAGGTCACAACGTTCAAATATGTCAAACAGTTCAAACAGCTTCTTCTTCTGAAGATTTAAAAGGCATAAAAGTTTGCGAATGAAAATGACCTTGACCTACTTTCAAGGTCACAGCGTTCAAATATGTCAAACAGTTCAAACAGCTTCTTCTGAAGAATTAAAAGGCATAAAATTATAATATTTGGCTGGTGACTTCCCGGGATAGAGCTTAGGGTGATGATATTTGGCCAGTAACATGCTGGGATGAAGGGGTACCAAGTTTGTTCAAATACATGACCTTGACTTATATTCTATGTCACACGGGTCCAATATGTTTAAAACCTTTAAACAACTTCTTCTGAATAATCGAGAGGCCTAGGGTGATGAGATTTGTCCAGTACATACTTGGTTGAAGAGCTACTAGGTTTGTTTAATTCAAGGTCACAGGGGTCAAATATGTTCAAAACATTTAAACAACTTCTTCTGAATAACCAAGAGGCCTGAGGTGATGATATTTGGCCAGTAGCATGCTGGGATGAAGGGCTACCAAGTTTGTTCAAATAAATGACCTTCATCCATTTTCAAGGTCACATGGGTCAAATATGTTTAAAACCTTTTAACAACTTCTGATGAATAATCAAAATGCCCAGGGTGATGATATTTGGCCATTAGCATGCTGGGATGAAGGGCTACCAAATTTGTTCAAATGAATGACCTTGACCCACTTTCAACCTAATGTTATTGTTTGACATTCAAGGTCACACTGATATTCTGCCTAGGCAGCTGTAGCTGTATTTTAGTCGACTTTTAAGATTACTAGTGTGAGATTAATACCAGGTGAGCGATGCAGGCCCATTGGGCCTCTTGTATGGGGAAATAACACTCTTGGTATATTTTATCCATTTTCAGCAGAAAATTATTCAAACTTGGTCAGAATCATCTTTGGTGGATGAGGGTATTACATTGTAAAATTGGAATTCCTGCCCCATTCCCAGGGGCTAGGGTGGGGCCCCAAAGGGAACATTTACCAATATTTTCAAATTCTTATCCTTTGATGACATGACATTTATTGTATTTCACTTAGTTTACATGCTGATTTCCACATCACATCTAAACGATAAAATAAAGCTACCAATACCTATGATATAGCTCAGGTGACTACTGAGGACCTTGGCCTCTTGTTATTATGCAGCGTTTTATGCCCATTCCTGGAACAGCAGCTGATATACGCGAGATAAATGATCAAGTTGAGGTCACAGCGACCTTGTTATGGGATGTGACTCACTACCATCTCATAATGTACCTATATACAATTCTATATATTCAGACTTAGGTTGAAGGGGTATAAAAAGAATAAATGCAATTCTACTTGCAAAGTTATAATTATGTTTTATAATATAATGATGGACTTGATGTAAGTTGAACAATATACACAATCAACTTTAAATTTTCCCACTGACCCAATTGTTTTATAAGATCTTAAAACATGTATCCACTTTCAATTGTGAAAAATTATTGTAAAGAAATGTCCATTTATGCAACACCTCATTTGAATAAAGGCCTACTTGCCTACAAATTAAGATTAAGAACATTTTCTATTTCCATTTGAACATTGAAACAGGTCCAATACGTTTGTCTTCAGGGCTTTCAGTACTTTGATTTTTTGTTCTATTTTCATCATAAGACATAACATGTTCTATTTTCTATTCATAAAAGATGAGGCGACACAAACATACCCCGATAATACTGAAAGAGGGTGATGGCCCTCTTTTGAAATAAAAAAGAGGGTTATAGCGTGCGACGTTTTTTTTTCGCAACAAATATAAGAAGAGTAGATTATAAATTAGAACTTTAATATTGTAATGATGCAAAAGGTACATTCTACATTCATTGAACTGTTCTTCCAGCAGATCTAGCTGATCCTCATCTGCAATACCAAATTCAAATCTGAAAAATAAAAAAACATTGGTCAATAACACAACTCATCAAAAATTAATTCATAATAATAGATATGATACTGTGTTTTCACAGGCATTTGTTTCTGTAAATAAAAAATGGTCCTGACAATAAGAGGTCACATTCTACTGATATAAAATACCATTTTATTTGTCAATAAAAATGTTCCTGACAATAATATAAGAAGTCACAGTACCCTACTCGTATAAAATATCAATTTTATATGAGGACCTTTTTTGTCTCACCGCTATGAAGTGGAAGCAAGACTAAGGTGTTGCTTTTCCTGCGTCAGCAGCGTCAACATAAGTTCTGGCATTTAAGTTAGTTTCACTGAAAGTATAAGTGCTAGACTAACCAAACTTGGACCATAGATGCATTTTAGGTAGTACTTCTCAACCCATGCATCAAATGCTACCTTTCATGGTCCATTGACTTTGTCAGCATCTCCATTAACATCAAGTATTTGCATTTCAGTTAGTTTCTCTGATACGTGCATTGATGTTCAAATTGGGGCAAAGGAAAGACAATCAATCCTAATGGCTTGTTATCCCCTTGCAACGAAAGTTTGAGGGGATATAGGAATCTGCCTGTACGAACGTATTTACGTATGTTACACTGTTCGTCATCGCTTTAGTGACTTCATTTCTCAACGGAATTTCATGAAACTTCATTCAAGTGTTTGGTATGACAACACCTTGAACAGTTTCGCGTTTTGGGTAACTGCGTTTGAGATCAAGGTCACTGCTACTATTTTTAGAAAAAAAATTGTCATCGCTCTAGCGACTGCACTCCTCAATAGAACTTCATGAAACTTGATACAAGTGTTTGCTATGAAAATGCCTTGAACAAGTTTGTGTCTCGGGTAAATGCGTTGAAGGTCAAGGTCACTGTTACTATTTTTAGAAAACTATGTCCTCGCTCTACTAGCCACTTCATTCCTCAACGGAATTTCATGAAATTCGTACACATACACAATGTGTGAATGTGAGGGGATTTGTATCACGTGTGATGCATTGTTATTGATAGAAACCTGTGCATGCTTTTGAATGTCTCGGTAACATGGTTTTTAGCTCCAGATCCAACTGAAATATGCGATTTTCAAATAGTGCAGATTGCAGCATTTGGTCCACAATCACTGGACTGCATCAATTATGTTTTCTTTATGCATTTCGTGTAGTAGAACCTGCAAGTCACCTTAAAGACTTTTTCCTTCCAGAAGACACTACGTATATACAATTGTAAAAACAACTTAATTATTCGTCACTCATCTCACTAATTACCTGTCGATAAGTTCTATATATAAACATTTGTAAAAACGGTTCAAGAATGTATTCAAACAACTAACAACTTACCTGTTGGTGAGAAATGGAAACGGGAAATAGATCGTCTTCTTCATAACAGAGCATGGAAAAGTCTAGAGAATTCAGAGTGACTTTGGTAACTTCTGATATACGAAAAGATTCAAGCAAAAACAAATACTGAAAATATGTCTATATATATATACTGGCAACCCATGATTATGAATTTATCATGATACCGGTAGGTAGTATAAGGTAATATATAGATGATAAACACTTTTTCCATATTATGAGAGTTGAGTATGTTTCAGGGTGATGTGACTTGTTATTTTTCAGTATGTATGTTTAAGGGGGATGTGACTTGTTAGCTCACCTGGCACGAAGGGCCAAGTGAGCTTATGCCTTGGGGCGGTGTCCGTCCGCCGTCTATCAGTCCGTCCGTCCGTCCGTCCTCGTGCGTCAACTTTTCCTTTAAACACCTTCTTCTGAAGACCGGACAGGCCTAGAGTCATGATATTTGGCTGAAAGCTTCGTTGGTAGGAGCCCTACAAAGTTTGAGAACGAAAATGACCTTGACCTGTTTTCAAGGTCACAGGGGTCATATATGTCAAAAGCTTCAAAAGACTTCTTCTGAAGAACTGAAAGGTATAGAATCTTTATTTTTCATTGATGGCTTCCTCGGATAGAGCCCGACAAAGTTTGAGAATGAAAATGACCTTTACCTTCTTTCAAGGTCACAGGAGTCAAATGTGTCTGACACTTCAAACGACTTCTTCTGAATAACTAAAAGGTATAGAATCTTCATATTTGGCTGATGGCTTCCTGGGATGGAGCCCCACAAAGTTTGAGAATGAAAATGACCTTGACCTGTTTTCAAGGTCACAGGGGTCAAAAATGTCAAATGCATCAAACGCCTTCTCCTGAAGAACTTGAAGGTATAGAATCTTTATATTTGATTGATGGCTTCCTGGGATGGAGCCCAACAAAGTTTGAGAATGAAAACTAGTTTGACCTACTTTCAAGGTCACAGGGGTCAAATATGTCAAATGCATCAAACGACTTCTCCTGAAGAACTTGAAGGTATAGAATCTTTATATTTGATTGATGGCTTCCTGGGATAGAGCCAAACAAAGTTTGTGAATGAAATCGACCTTGACTTACTTTCATGGTCACAGCAATCAAATATGTCAAATAATTCAAACTACTACTTCTGAAGAATAAAAAGGCATACAATTATAATATATAATATAGAAGCTTTAAGGAATAGAGCTTACCAATTGGAAAAGGAAAATGACATTGACCTACTTACAAGGTCACAGGGAAAAATATGTCGAGCAATTTCTGAAGAAGAATCAAAAAGCATAGAATCTTATAATAATATTTTGCTCATAGTGTTAACAGATGGAGCCAACAAAGTTTGCGAGGGAAATATTTTTAGTGCAATATAATATTTAATGAGAATATTTTGCTATGACTGCTTAAATATTCAGGTGAGCGATACAGGCCCTCTTGGGCCTCTTGTTATTTTTCAGTATGTATGTTTCAGGGCGATGTGACTTGTTATTTTTCAGTATGTTTGATGTGGGTGGTCAAAGGGATGAGAGGCGGAAGTGGATTCAGTGTTTTAACGATGTGACAGCCATCATCTTTGTAACAGCATGCAGTAGCTATAACCTCGTTCTTCGGGAAGACCCAAGCCAAAATCGACTCAAAGAATCCCTTGCACTTTTCCTAAGTATCTGGAACAACAGGTGAGAATATGGCAACAAAATTGAAGATCGTACTTAAGACATTTACTTACTTACTTTGTTACTCCTCTCATGTCATGTACCCGTTGCAACTTGTACCTCTTGTACTGCTTTGATGAACCTGTATGGTACTCAGAAGGTTAAAATACCAGGTGAGCTATTGAGGTCCCTTGGCCTCTTGTGCCAATTCACAGAATGATTTTGTCTTATTTCTGCCAATTCCTGAAATATCTGCCTGTTTCTGCATCATCTTATTATAATATCCTGATAACAGTCTTCTTCGCATTTTGAATAAGCCTAGAAACTGATGCATATATGTGACTGTGATCACACTTTTTCTTTCTTTAGGTAGAAAATGGAGGGAAGATGTGTTTTCGACGAGAGAGACAAAATTTATAGTTAAGGTAGTCCTCCCCAAAAAGTCTAAAAGCAAAGGAATCAAAAATTTAAACCAGAATACAGAGAATGACATTTCCATGTCATTACACAACTTGCGTGTATGCTGGGGGTATACTTATCACCCCCCTCGGTGGCAGCTCTAGTTTATTCCAGGAATGTCACGTGACTATCGTAATATTTCTGGGACTAGTGATGAGAAACTCTGTACTGGGAAGTCTTAAAACACTTAACTATTGACCTTACACAATAGGTAAGAATTAAGTTTAGTCAAAGTACTTCCATTATGTGGGAAATTTTACTTTCTCATGGTAAGATTTCCGGGTATATAAGGTTGACAAGGGTTATTGATTAAAAATGAATTGAATAATTCGAGGTTATGATATACCGCTTTATCACAACCTAGTTGGTAGGTCGTCTCAAAGCGGTTCACAAATAATGATCTGTGGTAATTTTCCTTTGCAACCAGCCAATATCTTTCTCAACTCACTGGTGAGCATACAGCCAGTGCTGCCATTTCGGCTCTTACAGCTAGCATTCTACAGTTCCAGCACTGCCCAACCACATACTCATTTATAGCTGAGTAGACTGGAACAAGCAGAGTATAGTATTTGTTCATAGATACAACACAGTGCCGTGGGGTGACTCGAACCTGCAACCCTTCAGTCACGGATAGGATGATGGATCCTCCCAACTATTCTGCAGATCATCTGCAGTTGAGGATATTTTGGCAGTAGCATGCTAAGATAAAGGGCTACCAAGTTTGTTAAAATGAATGACCTTGACCTACTTTCAAGGTCACAGGGGTCAAATGTTTTAAAATCTTCAAACAACTTCTTCTCAATAACCAAAAGGCCCAGGGTACTGATATTGGGCCTGTAGCATGCTGGGATGAAGGGCTACAAAGTTTGTTCAATTGAATGACCTTGACCCACTTTTAAGGTCACATGGGGTCAAATGTCGTAAATCTTCAAACTACTTCTTCACAATAACCAAAAGGCCCAGGGTACTGATATTGGGCCTGTATTATATTGGGATGAAGGACTACCAAGTTTGTTCAAATGAATGACCTTGACCCACTTTCAAGGTCACAGGGGTCAAATATGTTAAAATCTTGAAACCAATTCTTCTCAATAACCAAAAGGCCCAGGGTACTGTAATTGGGCCTGTAGCCTGCTGGGATTAAGGACTACCAAGTTTGTTCAATTGAAAGACCTTGACCTTCCCTCAGCCTAATGTCCTTGTTCGACATTCAAATTCACAGGCGTCATATGTTTAAATCTTTTAATAGATTCTTATGAATCAAACACTGATATTCTGCCTGTAGCTGTATTTTGGTCCACTTTAAAGATGACAAGTGTGAGATTAATACCAGGTGAGTGACGCAGTCCCATTGAGCCTTTTTTTTTTGTGTTTGTGTTAATTCACTTTCATTTTCTCCATCCTCAGGTGGCTACGAACTATCTCAGTAATTCTATTTTTAAACAAGCAAGATCTACTAGCAGAGAAAGTCAAGGCGGGGAAATCTAAAATAGAAGAGTATTTTCCTGACTATCGACGCTACCAAATACCTTCAGATAGTAAGTATAAAGTGGTCCTCTACCTTCATCTGTTCATAAGGTTCACAGCAACCTATGAGCAGCATTTGTAATTAACTTGTTCAAGTATTATAACAACTTAAATGGCTATATATTTAGATATTATTGCAGAATGAGAACATAATTATGAGCACTGAGGTGCAATCATTGTTAGCTCACCTGCCCGTAGGGCAAGTGAGCTTATGCCATGGTGCATCGTCCGTCCGTCCGTCATCAACTTTTTAGGTCACCTGAGACAAAGTCTCAAGTGACCTATTGCGATCGCCTTTTGTCCGTCGTCGTCCGTTGTCCGTCGTCCGTCGTCCGTCGTGCGTCCGTAAATAATTTACATTTTCGACTTCTTCTCCAAAACCCCTGAACCAATTTCAATGAAATTTTGCAGGGACCTTCCATGGACAAAGGTCAACAAAATAGTTGCCGGTTTAGTCCTACGCCCCCAGGGGCCTGAGGGGCGGGGCCAAAAGGGGTCAAATTGACTAAAATTTCAAAAATCTTCTTCTCCAAAACCCCTGAACCAATTGCAATGAAATTTTGCAGGGACCTTCCATGGACAAAGGTCAACAAAA